TGACCTCTCTTTCACGTCGTATCTGAATTATGCCCGGTTTATGTTAAATTATCTTGCCACCGTGTCTAAAGAGCCGTTTGAAGAAAGGGTGCCATCTCTGCTGTATGTTATCGCCGTTTCTTCGCTGGTTTCTATAAATACTATAAATCAGGGGCATTTTCGTGATGCTGGAACGAGCCTTGATACTCTTGTCAACCGCGATATTCTGGTTCGTTGTTCAGCTTTTTTCATTTTTGCTGTGACACGTTTTACACTGGAAAACGGCAACCTTGCTGCACTGTGAATGTGTTTTCCAGTTATTGGAAAAAACTGCTCCTCGAACAATGTGCTAGTTCTTTTCCGACTGCTAGCGTAGAAATTTCGACCGTTTTCTAAATACGTCTTTCCATTCAGTTTCCGGCTATGGGGTATTTATCACAGGTTGGTGGCCTTCCTCTGGAGCAGCAAGGATTTTGCTATGTAACCATGTGCTTTTATTCTCTTCATTTTCATTTTTTTTATTTTTGCAGGGCGATGAACAGCTCACGGAGCGTCTGTTGGCAGTATGCCTGGCATTAGTGAAAAGCAAGAATGGCAAATCACTTTGCTTGCTTCTTGCATTAAGAACACTGGGAAGCGTTATGAAACCCGGAAGGACCGAAGCGATTATGGAGGCTGGTGCTGTGCAAGACTTTGACGCTACTATACTAGCCGTTTGTTGTGCTGCTCTTCGCTTGCAAGGTAACTTTTTCATAAGGAGTCAGATAAATTTTTCGTGTTTCCACATGTTGATTCTTTCAGAAATCCCTGCTGATCCCTTGTTATTTTCATCAGCCGATGTTCATAAGTGATTTGAACCCCGAAACTCAGCTTATCACCTCGAATCGTAGCATGCCTAGCTATTAGATTCATCCTTTTTGGCTAGTACTGGAAGCAAATGCGGCCTTATTGGTGGATCTGTATGACTGTTAGTGAAAGTGCTGTCGTCAACTGTTCCCGCACTTAGTCCGTAAAATGAAAAATCGTGTGCAGTGGTTCTTGAATTCTGCGATGTGTTCAGATGTGGAAAGGGTGTACAAGGGCTTCAATGAGTATCCTGCATCGAGGGACGATTGGATATGTCGCTTCGAAATGGCCTGCACATGGAAGGATTCAGCAGGCGTCCTCCAGCTCCTTGACCAATTTTCACAGAAGGGACAGATTTCCTTCCAGAATGAGCTATTCAAGTGTTGGTGAGTTTTGCTAAATCTTGCTTATTCTGCGTCGTTTTAGAAAATTTTCTTTCTTGTCGGTGGTGCCACACAGTTCGAACATTTACCACGCAAAGTTTGCTTCCGGTGTATGGCTGTGTAGTTTAAGGGTCCGTCCGGTCACTGTGCTCCCTCCCCCGGACAGACGCGAAAATCCGTTATCAAATATATTTGAAGAGAAGCACTTTAAACGAAAACTTTTCATTTGTAAAGACAGTCAGGTATAAACGTTAATTTAGGTTGCAGAATTACATGCGCTGTTTGTGAGACTCAGCACTGTAACTGTAGGCTGGCTTTGCTTTCTCTTTGTTGCTTCGCTTTCGCACATCAAATTTCTTCGCCGCGTTTTTGGTTTCGCATGTCTGTCCAATTCGACTGCTTTTTTTTAAAGTCGATTATCTGCGTTTCTTGACGCTTTGCAAATGGAGCTGTGCTTGAATTCAGATTAAGAATCCGGAAGCAGAATCGAATGAGAAGATTCACTAAAGTTGTCACAGTTGTGCGTGCAATTTGTAGTTTCTGTCAAATATATCTGCTGGGAACGACAAGCGTTCTGCACGCTATTTTACACTCATTTTTTGATAAAGAAGTTTTTTGTTTGACAGTCGCCGATTCCAGGAATTCAAGCAGACCGTAAACTTGATCTTTATTGGCTTCTGGTACATCTGATTTGCAGTGAGGATGCAGACAGTGAGCCCGAGAAGTTGATTCTTTTTAACTGTGCTTCGATTCGCTTCTGTGCTCACGCAATTCAATTCCTCTGTAGTATGGATGTCGCAACGCGGGATTTCGTATGTTGTGCAGCGATTGCTGCACTCGAGGTACTTTTGAATTTTATCTTCCAAAAATGAAAAAAAAAGACGTTTGTGATGGTGTCAGACTTCTTTTTAGCATTCTGTGAAGAGATCATTGAAAAAGAGTAACTGATAGTATTAACACCACTGATGAGCGTGTTTTTTCTCTGATTAAGGATTTTTTGGAATCTCCCAACACTCGTTCATTTTTTTTTTTTT